TAAGAACAAGGTCCGGGACTCGACCCATGGTCAACTACGGTCAACTACGTGGGAGTCCAGTGACATAGCCATTATGCTAACTGCTGGTCCCAAAATTGAGTAACTTTGAAAAAAAAAAAAGAAAGGAGCAGAACCAGGTGATGAAGGGAAGCAGGAGCACAAAACGAGGCAGCCTGAGGCCCTGGGGCCCCCCCCCCCGGTATCATCTGTTGACGAACTGCCCTAATGAGCTCCCGGGGGACTCTGTGCAGGGGGCGGGGGTGACTACAAGCTGGGGACACCTTTTCAGGACGACAGGGACGGCGGTGACGGGGTTCTTCTTGAGGCTCTCGATGATCTCGGGGGCCTTGTCCCCGTAGATGCGGTGGATGGCGCGCCGCTGGATCACCTCCGACGTGCCCCCCAGGGAGTCGTCCAGCCGGAACTTCTCCTGGTCTTCGGGCGCCATCCGCGACAGCTTCTTCTGCACGCTCTCCAGCACCCGGATGGTGGCCAGGTTGGTCTCCAACACGACGTCTAACTACAGAGAGAAGGGCGGGAAGGGCCAACTGCCAGGGCGTGGCTCGTTACAGGAGTCGGGCCCCTAGACGGGGCCACCAACCAAGAGCTGCAGGCCGCTCTGTGCCCCGGGAGTACCCAACGGGTGGGACGGCCCCACCCACAAAGGGAAATTGTCCCTCCAGGTAACCCAGTTTCGGGGCTTCAAAAGCACCGGCTCGCTGGACAATAAAAAAGAAGGCACTTAGGCCAAAAAGTGGTGCGGTGGTTAAGGCACTGGATCCTGCGTGGTTAACTCCACAGTTCGAGTCCTGAACCTGGAGCCTTGAAAAACAGACTGGATGTGCATGCGTGCCCAAAATTCTGAGAGGAGAATGGTGGAGAAGGGATTGCGGTGTGGTCATCCCCCCAGGGTGATTTCTCACTTTCCCTTTCCTTCAGACAAGTCAAACTGGGGTGATCTCAGTAAGAGCAGTGGGTTGGGTCAGTGTCAACATGCAACCTCGGTAACAGCGCCCAAGTTTTATACGATGGTACCATTGGGGGCCACGGAGGGCACCTCGGATCTCTGTGTTAGTTCTCTCTCTCTCTCTCTCTCTTTTTTTTTTTTAGAGAGGTTTTTGCTATAGGGTGCGTGCGCTCGCCAGAAAGAGAGAGAGGGAGACAGAGAGACAGAAAGAGAGAAATCACCCCCCAGGGGGGGATGGCCACGCCGCAATCCCTTCTCCTCCACTCTCCTCTTGGGATCTTGGGCACGCACGCACACGCGCCCGGCATGAGTTTAAGCCACCGGGTCCGGGACGCGAACCACAGTTGACTACATGGGAGTCCAGCAACATAGCCATTACGCTAACTGCTGATCTCGCTCTCTCTTTTTTTAAAGTATGCTACAGGGCATGTGGGCTCACCAGAGAGAGAGAGAGAGAAAGTGAGAAATCATCCCCAGGAGAGATGGCCGTGGTGCAATCCCTTCTCTTTTCTTCTCCCCTCAGGATTTCGGACATGCATGCACACAGGCCCAGCGTGTTTCAAACTGCCGGCTCCAGGACTCAAACCATGAAGTCAGCCATGTAGGGCTCAGCCACCCTAACCGCCATGCCATCTGCAGGCCCTCTTCCCTCTTTACAAAAATAGTTTATTTCGAGACTAGCAGATAACAGTGTAACAGTCATGTCACTGGACTCCCACAGAGTTGAACGCGGTTCGAGTCCCAGATTCGGCAGCATAAAATTCACGCTGGGTGTGTACATGTGTGCGCGCCCGAGATCCCGAGAGGAGAAAGGAGGAAAAGGGACTGCGGTGTGGCCATCCCCTCTGGGGAGTGATTTCTTGCTTTCTGTCTCTTTGGCAAGTATATGTGCACTATAACAAAAATTGTTCTTTAAAAAAAAAAAAAAGGTCATTGCTATTGTAGGGGAGGGAAGGGGAGTCATACCATGACCTCCCCAAAGCCTTCTGGCCTGGAGCATTCAGGTCAACCTGGGATCCGGACCCTGGTTGCCCATATGACTCCAGCATCAGGAGAGGCCAACACCTCTGGCATCGTGGCTGGGTCTCTGTGCTATCCCTCACACTCCATGTAACTCTATCGGTAAGAATTCCAGGGGCCAGGCAGCGGCGAAGTGCTAACACAGCTGGACCCACATGCGAGGGGCCCCAGGTTCACGTCCTGGGACCTCTCTGGGCATGCTGAGCATGTGTGGGATCCAGAGTAGCTGAGACCAGGGGAATCAAGGATCTCAGGGAAGACCTTATATGGGGGAGGAGGGTGACTGTCTTTCTTGCTCGCTTTTTCAAGGAAGAAATAAGCAACCTTAAAAAAAAGAGCCAGCCCGTAGCCCGGTGGTTAAAGGAGCTAGGTCCCACATGGCCGACTGCATGATTTGACTTGCAGACTCCATAGCTTAAAAATATGCCGGGCATGTACCTGTGCATGCCCCAAATTGCAACAGGATGGAGAAACAGAAGAGAAGGGACAGCAGGGTGAGCATGTCCTTGGGGGTGGGGGGGTAAAGGGAGGTGGCTTTCTCCCTTTCTCTGTCTCTCTGTGCTAAGCACAGCTATCCCATGATAAATAAAAAGAAAAATAATAAAATAAAAATAAAAATTTCAATAAAAATTGATTCTGGGGGCTGGCAGGTGGCATGGCGGTTAAGGCAGCGGGACTCCCATACCGCTGAGCAGGGTTCGAGTCTCGGACCTGACAGCTCGCTTTCTCACTTTCCTTCTTTCGTACCTCTCTCTGGTCAACTTTGACAAACTAACTAACAAGACATTTTTTTTTTTGGGGGGGGGGGGGAAGGGGGCGTGCGCTTGCCAGAAAGACAGAGAGAGACAGAGAGACAGAAAGCGAGAGATCAACCCCCGGGGGGATGGCCATGCCGCAATCCCTTCTCCTCCATTCTCCTCTCGGGTTCTTGGGCACGCACGCACACGTGCCCAGCGTGAGTTTAAGCCACCGGGTCTGGGACTCGAACCACAGTCAACTACAGGGGAGTCCAGCATCGTATCCAACTGCTGGTCCTATACAATGAATACATTTTTGCTTAAGTGAGGAAAAAGCACCAGCCTGTAGCCCACCCAGGAACACAGGATGGTCTGGGAGGCTCCCCCTGCTGGAATGTGCCCGGATCCCCTTCCTCCAAAGGAGACTGGGGAGGTGGAGGAAGACTGGGCTGCGTCTCTGTGGAGAAGCAGGGACAGTGCACACCCAGGGGACGTCACCATCTGGCCCCCACACACCCCCGTCTGGGCCATGCCAGCGCACACACCTCGAAGCGTTCATCCTCACAGCGGTGCAGCTGCTCCTCGTAGGGCGTCTTCTTGGAGCTGACGAAGGTGGAGTCTTCTGACCAGGAGGGGAAAGAGACCCAGGTGTCGTTCAGCACCTGCACCGAGAGGAAGCGCCGTGTGACTGGTATGGCAGGGGGTGGCCACAAGTGCATAGCCTGGTAT